GGGGGGCAGGAGGGTGCAATCGGAGTAGCGGGGGCGGGGCGACCAGAAGGAGCCACCTCGCCTGGGGCATGGACTGGCCCTGGGTTGGGTATCCCCGCCGTATGTTCCCATCAGGCTGATAGTACCGACGCTCCGGCCGGATATCTGCTACTGGATGGTCCAAGCCGGTCTGCGCTGCGGGCGCGGCGAGGCGCGCGGCGGGGCGCGGAGCGGCGGGCGGGGCAGAGCAAGGCGAATCCCGGAGTCACTCGCGTCATGTAGCGTCAAGATGAGGTAGTAGGGAGAGCCGGCGCACTGGACCAAACCCAGCTCGGCTCGGCCCGGCTCGGTCCGGCTCGGTTGTTCAAGCCGGCTCAGCAGCCGCGCCGCGAGAAGAGAACGAGGGAGGCAGTCAGAGGCACTCATGCTCTCGTCAGGCTGGCTGGCTCATCGCAAAACAACCAGGCGCAGAGCTGCGCAGAGCCTGACTTGAGCACTGCTTGAGCACTTGGCTTGAGACGCCCGCGTCACCGTCTCAGCAGATCGCAGCGCACCGCGCACCACCTGCCCAAGGTAAGGGACGTGTGCAAGTCACCGGCCTCGTCCTTGGCCTTCAGAGTTCAGACTTGGCCCTCAGAGTGCAGCGCCTATGGCCAGCGCGACTACCCTTCCGCAGTCCGGTGTCGCTGACCATGATGTGCACTGAGATTTTTCTGTTTCTTTCCAAAATTTTTAAAAACAGTGTCACCGGTCGTGATTAACGCTAAGTACAGAAGTAATTGGAATCAAGTAAAACATAAATCTACCGTTCTAAAAACTCGTGTGTTCGCCCGCGCGCGCGCGTGTGTGTATGAATGAATGTGTGTGTGTGATGGTGTGTGTGTTGTGCTGTGTTGTGTCTGGTCACACAACACTGACTGAATAGTAAGGCAAAATATTTAGAATCTCTTCGCATGGCCGCCAAGGAGCGGCGGACGGGCGGTGCAGAGTTGTTCCCATCAACATCAACCTCTGTGCCCGCGGCCGCAATAACCGCCCTGCCGCGCGTCAAAACTGGACCAAATCAATATTGCAGGCACGCCTTTGATACGAGTCGAGCGTAGTGCCGGCTCATTAGCATCGGGAACCTGAAACCTGCCGCTGGCGGAGCGAGGGAGCGGAAGAAGCGGCGGAGGCGCTCTCATCAGTTGAATCGATTCGGGGGCGGGGAGTAACAAAAATGCTAATGCCTCTCTCAAACTATCGGCACCGGCGGCCTTGCGGACCCGTCTCGGGGGAATCTGGTTCCCGCCCACCTAGCACAGCCCCCTGCTCCAACCGCGCCCCGCCCGCGGCCGGGGGAGGGAAGTCCAACTCCAGCCCGGCACCAGCAGGGAGGTAGCGGGCCGGGGTGGTGGTGGTGCTCACTCTGCACTTGGCCAGGAACAAAACAAAAGCCTAATGGCCGATCATCCTGGTCAGGTCGTTGGCTCGTCCTCTTCCGGGTCGGACGTCCAGCTGCTTGTGATCTCGCCGACCGGGCGACCGGACGGGTGGGTCTGGGGTCTGCCCGGGCGGGGGGCCCCGACCCCTGGCCGACCCCACTGGTCACACACCGAACGGCGTAGCTCAGTGTCCGCGCATGACCCCACCCCTCCACCCCCAACCTCTCACCCTCAAGTTTGAAACACTTTCAGGACAGGCGGAAGAGCCCCGCGGTGCGATGGCCGAGAAGAGGACAAGCTTGTTGCTGTTGTTGGCGGTGCTGCTGACTCACCGCGTTGCGACAGGTCAGCTCCCCGGGACCTTGTTTTTGTATCCATACCATTATTTGTGCGACGTGCCAAATGTTTTTCACACAACAAGTTTGTTTCTCTGCCCGCGCAGAAATCAGTGGGCCCGAGTGCTGCAACGCGTGGAACAATGACGGCTGGAGGAGGTTCTCGGAACTGCCGTCGAAGGAGGTGCCGCAGCGGAAACCAACGGGTGAGTAGCCGCAGACTGATACGGGAGGAAACATCATTCGCAAAGTGCACCGACTCTTCAATGAGCCGATGTCACCTGGCAATAAAAAGTGATTTAATAAGTTTGCTGTTTGGAGAATCCAAAACCGGTTTTTGGTAGTCACTTGTCTTTTCTACTGACTATAGAGTGCCGCAACACGGTGGTGCCGCTCTCGCTCGGCGGCCGCTACTCGCGGGTGCGTCGCGCGGCCGACACCCGCCTCACGTGGACGCCCGGCGGCTCCAACAACCACCTGGGCGTGTCCTTTTGCCGCGACGCGCAGCACAACGACTGCTACATGCTGGACGCGCTCGGGGTGGGCGCCGGCCGGCTGGGCTTCTGGTGGCGGAAGCACGGCTTCGAAGAGACGGGCCTGCTCAGCTGGGTGCCCGGCCGTCCGTCCGAGAACGTCCCGGAGACCATGGTGCAGACCGAGGGCCGCATGGAGGAGGGCGCGTGGCCCGACAACGGCGGCCAGGACATCCAGGTCAACCTGGAGCGCACGGGCGGCCCGTCGCTGCGCGTGTGGCTGACGGGCGCCGAGGGCAGTGCCGTGGACATGCCCCTGCCCGACGACGTGCCGTATTTCGCCGTCACACCGCACGTCCCCGTCGGCGCCATCAACACGGCCACCGCGGCCATCGTAAAGACGCAGAAGGCAAAATGTAAGACGACCCACTTTGTGGTTTCATTTCTCCGGGGTAGTAAGCGCCGCCGCGCCCTCTGTTTCTAGGCATACTGTGCCGTATGCAGGCGGGAGGGCCGGGTCGCCTAACATGTGCCAGGCGCCATCGTTGAAGACGATGGTCGAACCGGCTCGCACGCCTGCGTGCAGCACGTCCTGTATTTGGGCCCTCTCTACTCTCTACCCCGCGAGCAACGCATTGGTCATTTCTTGTGCAGTGTACCCGGACAAGTCCATCAACCCGCTGCTGATGCGCGGGGAGAACCTCCTGCAGAAGCCGGGCAACAGGATCATCGTGACGTGGAAGCCGGACGACTCCGGGGCGCGCCTGGGCTTCGCCATGTGCCACGACGAGCAGCAGAACTCGTGCTTCGTGCTGCTGCTGTTCGGCTTCAACGGCCGCCTGGGCTACGCCTTCAAGAGGCACTCGTTCCAGGAGCTGGGCGCGGCGGGCTGGGTAGCCGGCCGGGTGGACCGCGTGCCCTCCTCCGTGGTGCACAGCGACACCTCGGTATGACATTGCTCACAGGGGCGTCCCGCGCGTCCCCATGGGAGTGCAATTGAGACATGACGCCTACTAGCTCGCCCTGTCCGCGGACTTTTCCTAAAACAAGCTCGCCCTCCTCTCCAGGTGAACAGCTGGCCGCAGGACGGGCGCCAGCCCCTGCAGGTGTCCGTGTCGCGCTCGGCCGGCCGGGTGCAGATCCACGTCGAGGGCGCCGAGCCACTCGTCCTGGGCCTGCCGGACGCGTACGGCTACCTGAGCGCGGCGCCCCTGGACGACCGGGGCAAGGTGGACGTCGGCGGCGTGGGCGGGCCGGCGCCGCCCAAAGCCCCAGCCCCAGCCCCAGCCGCGCCGCCGCCCGCCAGGCCCACCAGCAGGCCGCGGCCGCAGACGCAGCGCCCCGCCACGCCGCGGCCGGCGCCGCCGCCAGCGCCCAAGCCCCGGCCCACACCCGCACCCCCTCCACAGCCCCACCGGCCCGACCGTAAGTAGTGACGCACCGCCGGCCG